CCTCCAGCCTGGATTCTTGGTCGGTTGATCTGTGGTTTGTGTGTAAACAATCGAAGGGGTTTTTATTTTCTCTTCGTTTGTTGAGGTGGTGATGGCGCATCACGACGTTCTAATGAGATGAGACTGGGGTTTGTGATTTGTTAGTTCATGTCTAACAGTTAAAGTACAAATTATACCAACACATTCCAAATCATGGCCCATTTAGAAGAACTTAGAATATCTCAGAAGTTTTCTGCCAAGGTGAGGAGAGGTTACAGCGCTATATGACTTCCCTGCATGTGAACCACTCTGCCTCTAACCGTCAGACGTCAGCTTAATGAGGCTAATGAATAAACATTAAGGCGATGCCTTTATTTATGACAGCTAACTTTTGCTAACACATGTATTCAGCTTCTCGATGCCTCAAAATAACACCTATAAATGTGTGGTGTATCTGTGTTGGGGGGTCTCTGGCTGTCTGTCAAGTGGCATATGAAAGTACAATCAAAGGCACTCAGAACTTTGAGTGCACTGATAACAAACCCAATGACTGAATGTTTCAAAATCCATGAAAAAAACATATATCACAGAGAATGTGAATGTTTTTAATATTTCAGCACCACGGAGAGAGGCAGACGGTGTGGCTGGCCTTGTGTCCCGTTCTATACCCATTAATTCAGAGGTTCAGCACCACGTTTTCAATCACGAAAAAATTCAAACAAATCACAACCGATGAACATTATTTTTCAGCTTTTCTTTTTTACTCTAATTGACTTTTCGGTCTCACGACACGATACACAAAGGAGACGGTAGATATATTCCCAGTAGGTGGGAGTCAGAGTTCCACAAATACAGGAGGATGTTGGGAAGCTAATAAATAAATAGGTATCAGGCTACGCCACTTTGATTTCTTTAATCACGCTTGTTTGACAGCTGCGGTCCGGGGTGGCCTCATAATTGATGTCTTTTATACACAGTTGCTATCTTTAGATTCTCCTATGTTGCCGTAATGCCTGGTTTAAAATAGTCCTATACTGCGTGACGTGCTCATACAGTACGCAGTAATTGTCTAGTACAAATAGAGATAACATTTACCTCATATTGTATATCACAACTGCGTCTGTACCGTGTTAATCTCCGTCAGATTTTTCGGTCCACAGTTACCTGTTTATCTCTCATTAGGCTTCCTTACTTTCTAAAAAATAATATATACATACGGCAGGGCTAAGTGAAGTACTTTGTAGTACACTTGGATTCTATATACTGTACAAAAGATAGCTTCTATTTCCTCTTTATAAGTTGATGAACTGAGGTCCGGTTTACAGAAATATCCTGTCTATACAAGTCACTGATGTGTGACTGGGGTCAATGAAGTCTTTTTAGATTTTGATCAAAACATGTATTTCTTTTTCTTCACGTAGCACATTAATTGTTACTAAGTTGGAGTAGTTCATTTTAGGTATAAAGGTGCATCCAATCCAGTGTCACCATAGTCTGGTTCCATCATCCCAATTTATGGCATTAAAACCCACTAACGAGTTACATGGGAACTAGTTATCGAGCACAGTGGATGAATGGTATATACAAAGATGGCTTTGTTTATTTGCACGATTCAAACCATACATTGGATCGTGGGTGTCAAACATACGGCCCATGGGCCAAAACCGGCCCGCTAGGGGGTTTGATCCGGCCCACTTGATACATTTAGAAAGTGAAAGAAATGAGAAAACACTCTGTGTTCATGATGTTTTGTAAAATTATATTTCATCTATTATGAATATGTTCATTGTGGCTCCAAGCAGAAGTCTGACTCTTCTGATGTTCTTATGTCCTAGATTATTTTATCACCAAAGTGTTAGCGTAGGTGAGTTCATAGGTACTGATGTACAGTATGTGAGTTCTGGGTTGATCAGTTGCCATGGCATTAACAATCTCCGCATGTGTGAATGCACTATTGGTGCAAAGAACAAGTAGGAATTTGCTGTGGAATTTTCGGCAGGACTGTGTCTTGGCTTCTTCTGTACCAAGAATCTTTGGTGTTTTTCAGACCAATGACCCGTTGTCTGCGTTACTGTCTGCAGTGTGAATTTTTTTTATTGTTAATTAACTGCATGCTGCCTCTCACTTCCACATATGTGCATATTAGTTTTAACCAGTACCAGGTAAAAGTTGTTGTTGTTTCTCATTGAGCAAAAGATATAAAGACATGTTTTTTATAAAACAGGAAACACAGTTAAAAATTAATAATGAAAATATCCTACATACCATATTATTATAATTCACTCATGTAAAAATAGTTTTAAAGTAAAGTGTTTTTTGAATTAAATTAAATTTATTTTGGACAAGTTTGAAGGAAAACCCTCTCTCAAATGACCTTTGACCAAGTTTATTAGTAAACCTCATTAACCTGCTGANNNNATGTTCGTGATTCCTCCACCATGTGAAGACGAACGGCTCTGTGGGAGAGGAGCCGGGAGATGTCATCCTCACTACACCTGTGCTGCCGCCTCCTGGACGGACGCGACTCCTCTTTGCAGCGACTGTACTATAAGTGAACGGACAGCTTATGAGCTCCACTCAAAGCGAGAGAAACACACACGAGGAGCGGGATGGCGCGGATAGAAGTGGCGCACCTCCGCGCTCTTCTGCTGGCGCTTCTACTAACGGGGACCGTGTCGGTCTACGGGAACAGAGGGGCGACATTACCCGACGAAGAAAGGGCGACGAAAGAGGGAGATGCGGAGACGCCATGTGAAGTGAAAACAGTCACCGTCTCTACCCTGCCCGTACTCCGGGAGAACGAGTTCAGCTTCACCGGCGGAGCCGCTGGGAACGTGGCCGGCGGAGGTGCAGCCGGTGGCGCAGGTGGCGGTGCTGTTGGTGGCGGCGGTGGAGGAGGACCAGGAGGAGGAGTAGGCGGAGGAGCAGGCGGAGGGGGGGAATCCCGACTCCTGTTATTCGTTAGGACCGACCTACCTGGGCGAATTTCAGTAATGGATGATCTTGACAACACAGCTCTCCCCTACTTTACGCTGGGTAAGAACTGCTGTGGTTCTAACTGTGCTGCGTTCACGGTCGCTTCACATTTGGACACAAAGAGCATCCACACACTGAGCACACTCCACGCTTCGGTCCCAAACCAGCCACAAACTCCTTAGTGCGTTCCCACTTTGTTGTCTTCCCATCTGCATTCACTGTCCTGCACAAAATCACCAGCGTTTTTTAAAATTATTTTTTAATCTCATTCTTTGTTTTAATTTCAAATTTCCCTGCTCCCACTCCTCATTTATCTCGTGCACTCTGCTCGTTTTGTGTTTTAACACGATTAGTGCTTTAAATTTCATGCATTCACCACGTGTGGCACTGGTAACATGAAGGCAATTTGGCTCCTCAAACATCGGGTGAAATTAGCGTTGTGGTCTCACGTGCATGTGCTCTGCTTTGCATGTTGGACTCCCTGAAATATTCAGCCAGAGTTTGCATCAGCCGTCATCATATTCACTCGGGCATGCTTGAAAACAATAAAGATGCTCCACCTTCTGTTTATTCACATAAGTAAATTCACAGCAGTTGGTTTTTAATGGGGTATTTAAAAAAGAAAGAAAAAAGAGAAGAAGTTCCCAGTGAATGCCAGTGACTCTGGACTGATTCTGTGTTTTAAATAGTATAATACAACCACAACAACAGAAGGGTATTTGCATGGTTGCTCCTGTGTACTTGTCTTTTTGATACGTGAGCCACGGAACCTTTGGTTGTTGTGGAAGTGAATGCATTTAGTTCAGGAATGTAGTAAGAAAAACACACAGTGTATGCAGTGGAATGTCAAGGCTATGCATTTTTTCCCATCTACCCTGCTGTTCAAGGTTGCTGTAAATAGAAAACCTGTGAAGTGTCTCGTTACCTTAAATTTCAGACTCTCGCTCACGGTCTGGTATTTTTTCCGATTTCCCTGGTCTTGATTTCATCCTTTCTACATTTGCTGCCAACTACACCGGCTGCATGAACTAAAGGCAGGCGGGAGGGCGAGGGCCGGAGCATTAGGCTAGTAAATCACTTTCTATTCTCATTAAGGACAGCCGTTGACTGTTGAGAAAGACTTCTCTGTCCTCCCAGTCAGCCAGAGAGCAAATGTGCTGCTTCACCCTTTCCAGTGCTTTGACTGCACTCTGTGTGGAGGGAGGCTGACGGGTAGAGAGGAACATACACGTAAACCACGAACCACATGGTGCACATGCAATCTGCATCTTCACAACAGCCATTGAAGGACAATATTAATTAGTCACAGTTATTTAGCAGCGTTCCTAAATGCAAAATCTCTCTATATAAAAATAAAAAAAGACGTGTGACTGAGGGTCTGAGAACTGTTTGAATTGTCATATGTAATATCTCATCTGAAGAACCAACATATTGTTGAACAACACAACAACCACAATATAGTTTTTAATACATACATAACTCACAGGTTCCTCATTAATCTTCACATGTATTTCATTTTTATGGAAAAACTTAATTTGATTTTTGAAATTATACAGAAAGGTAGAGATGCACTGATTGAAAACTAATTACACAGCAATCAGGTACTGTAACCTCAGGTGTCAGAATAGGTTTGTGAATCCGAACAACTTTGCTGTCTAAACCTCCTGTTACATACATATACTGTATATATACAAATAGCTTTCTGGGCTCACTGTAAAGTATCTCTAAGCTAACATGTTACATTCAACTTGTGAGTGTGTTAGCTTCCTTTCCTGTTTTCTGACACAAAATGAGTAAAGATGCTGTGGTTAGCAGTCTTGGAGTACCCATACGATAAAAAAGTTCCTCGATCCATTTTATAATTGCTTATCTGCAACCTGAAAGATCTTTGTTGGAGTGTGTTGTTGTCGGGTTTATAGCACCTACAAGAAAGCATGGGATTTTGTTGGTTATTTAATCCAAGTAAGCATGGTGCAGTGGTCATATTAACAGTATTTTTCAGTGAAATTACAAACAGACTTCTGCACATTGAACACAGTTTGTTAATTTTGTAAGAAAAAATGAGCAAACTTCATCACGTGGTGATTTTTTTGTCCTTTGAATTGTCAGACTCTGTTTATATGTCATGTCTGTTGCATCAATTTTCTACCTATTAATTTTCTCCTCTCTTTCTCTCCTGGAGTGTGAATTTTTGTTCCTTGACTAGATGGTGGATACACACATTATTTGCACAGTCTGAGTGTGAACGAAAACACGTAAATTACAGTAGTATCTCACAATACATACATTTTTCCTTACGCTTTTTAATCATTTTAATTTGTCCCAAATACAAACGTGTTTAAAACAAAGTGCTACTTGTCTTTCTGAAACAGCAACACAAATCATAATGTGATATTCTAGGTAAATAATAAATATTTAGCAATGATATAACAGCTTGCCTTTGATTAATTGGATAAATGTTTTTAATTATTTGGGTACAAGAAGTCCTCGTCTTTCTTCAGGGTTTGGTTCCTTGCCTTGATGTAACTTAGATGTTTGCCCTTACATATCACAAAATCAGGGCCAGAACAGGATCCCCCTCCTCCAAGGTGGAATCTGCCACCTCTGTGTCTATATTAAAACCACACATTAGAACCACATGCTATCTGATTTCTGGGACTTTCTATTTAACAAATGAAGCACTGCGCAAAATAGTCAGAACAACACAACCTGTGCTACGACCAGAAATGAAGACCAAGTGTGCTGTTGGATTCTTTATTGTCCTCTGAGCCTAAAAGAAGGGCAAAAGGTTTTTGTTTTTTTTAAATATGGCGTCCTTCTGGCAAACTGTAAACAGAGCCGTCTTCCTCATTAAAAGGAGCGAACAAGACTTTCTTAATATATCTATACCTAGGGGGTGTGAAGACACAACAGCGACACAACGTAGGTTGAGGACGGTGTAAACCGAGGAGCCCCTGGATTATAATTGGATTATAAGGCACATTTGGGAAGTTTGTAAAATCGGAATCTAAGACACGACCTTATTTCTGAAAAATCAGTGTAAAATCATAATCTTTCTTTTTATTACCTTTCCAATTCTTTTCACAGGCTGTTACCTAAAACCCAGGCATACCATTCTCGTTATACTTCCCACAACAATGTATTGTTACGGAAACACACACTTTACATATCAGGACAGAAGCAACAGCCCACTAACAGCGTATTTTATATGGCGACAGGATGTAGGGACAAACCTACATTGTTTAAGTCTAAATTTATTTCTAGATGTCAATTTGCTTGACGCTGTTCTTTTCCTATCAAGCGAGCAGTTGACAGTTATTGCGATTAACTGTTATTAGGAAACTGAAGTGGAGTGATGCTTACACCCAATTATTCCAGAGCCGTTTTAGTCTACATCAACACTCGGGGAATCAATTTACGAAGTTGGAACTAGCTGTTAGGGCACTTTATGTAGGATTCCTGGTGACTCATCATATCCCAGCGGATGTAACTATCTTCCTCTACTTTTCTTTTTATATAAAAACACCTACAGTATTTTGGCAAACGTGACATTCCCTCCAGTGGCTCCAAATTTAGTGCATGTTGTTTAATTGAGAAAAAAAAATCTAATTTAATTTGGGAGTCATCATTCTACAACTTTTATATGTTTACTCGTATGGAGGAGACTGTTGTTCTGCAGAGTTGTTTTACATCCATCATAGTTGTTGACCTTGTTCGTTCCCCCTCTGTTGTGATGGTCGTTTTGTCATACGTTCTTCTAGTGTCTTATAGAAATTACAATTGTAGCAATCGTAAGGATGGCGATTCACCCTGCCGTCCTGGCCTGTCTGCTCAGCTTTGATTTATTGCCTCATGTGTCATGAAGAATGGATGTGTAGAAAGGGTAGTGCGGGGGGAAACACAGTAGACGTAGCCTCTACCCTCCCCCGACTCTCTAACACAGTGGAATTTAGTTTGTTAAGCACTGAAATAAGACACAAATAAAACATGCCAGCACACAGGTTTTATCGTTGGCACTAATTTCAGTTCTAAGACAGGTTTTATCATGTTAAAAGGTGCTCAAGTTTTAAATACTAAACCTCGTTAAGGAACATATCCTGAGACTTTGGATCAGATTTTTCAACCACCGAAATCAGGGATCTTTAAGATCATTTGATAGAAAATGGATTTCAGTTCTTAGACGAAGCAAAGAAGCAGGTTGTGAGCTGGTGCAAAGGGACTTCTAGATGGAAACACAGCTTTTAGAAGTGTTTAATTTGTTTATTTTGTTTTTCTTCATTTGCCTTCTGTCAGTATGAACTTAAAGTTCCCCTAAATGTGACTATAGGAAGCCCGCATACCACCGGCTTAAGAACCAAGGCATTAAAGAGCAGTAATTACTGGATTATCCTCATACTCTATGTTTTATTGTTGCCTCGGTGCAAGTAAATTTAAAGAATGAAGTATCTAAGTTGTAGGCCTCTGGACTGTTTCTCTGTCTGGTTGTAGATTGCAGCACAATGGGGGAAGCAGGTTTGTAGCAATTTAGTTGGGATTTTCAGGCAGAGAGTTCAGTGTTGCTTTACCTTTGTCACACAAATGATTTCTTAATTCATTTTAAGTGATGGGGAACTGTGCAGAAATCAATGTGCTAACCAAGGTGGCTGATTCGGTAAACAGCTCATTAGGAGTTCACCTTTCAAAAATCCTTAATGCTTTTACCACACTCTTGAAAACACACTCCAAGTCTCCTCGTCCTTCGTCTGTTGTATTGGATTAAGTAGTCGTACCTTCAATCTTCTGTGTCCTAATCTTTTTGTGCATCTTTTTGTGCTCCTTCTGTTCAGACAGCCTTTCTGTTTTGCCCCTGTGGCAGCTTTTCTAAGCAGGAGTTACAGCCAGCGAACCCTTCGTGCTTAGAGATGGGAGATTAAAAGCAGCAGCGGAAATGTAAAAAAAAAAAGAAAAGAAAAGAAAAATGCCAGAGCTGGGGCAATTTGTTTCTGGTAGCAAAGAACGTGTTGTGCAGAGTGCACATCTCTGTCTGATGTCCGAGGCTCAGATTAGCACAGCAGAAAAAT